AGATAGATAGATAGATAGATAGATAGATAGATAGATAGATAGATAGATAGATAGATAGATAGATAGATAGATATAGAATTTCCTTTATAGATTCGTTGCATGATGCCTCAACAATTCCAATTTTGTGCTGCATTGGATCATGACCTCTGGGAGTTATCAATAGAGATATATGTCTGATTAAATGTTAAAACATCTATTCCCATTTATTTGTAAAATAAAAATAAAAATGTTCCATTGAGAACCGAGTACAGGTAGTCCTTGACTTTTGATCAAGATTTCTGTTGTTAAGTGACACAGCTGTTAAATGAGTTTTACGATCCTTCTTGCCACATTTGTTCACTGCCGTTGTTAAGTTAGTAACACGTTAAGTGAATCTGGCTTTCCCCTTGACTTTGCTTGTCAGAAGATTACAAAAGGTGGATACTACAATAGTCATAAACATCAACTGGTTGCTAATCATCCAAATTTTAATCACGTGACCATGGGGTGCTGCAAATGTTCTGAGTGGGGGGAAATGTCATAAGTCACTTTTTTCACTGCCGCTGTAACTTTGAACTAAATGAATGGTTGTAAATCAAGAACCATCTGTATGTCAAACTGCCTTGGAGCAATTTGAGATGGTTTCTTGGCTATAAAATAGAGTAGGAGTTCCTTGTGCTCTGGAGTTGTCCACCTCTTCTTTTACATATTACCAGCTAAAAATCAGTGTGGGAAAGGTTGCATTTTAAATAGAAAGATACAAGTGATCTCAAGAATAATTTCAATTAACAGCAACTTACTGTCAACAATGGAGCCTCTTAACCTTTCTATTGCCTATTTAGCCTTTACAATATGCTTTTGGAAATCATTACTTATTAATGATTTTCTCCTGCAAGCCGAAGGGAGAAAAATGATATTCTTAAGAATCAGCAATTTGTAAAGACTAAATGCCTGCACACAAGGAAAACAATATTTGGGAATAAAAAGACAAAAACCCACAGATGAAACAATAATTAGAGAAGTACTCGAATGTGCAGAGATGGACAAAATGACCATGGAGTTTAAAGCAAGAGAAGAATTGGATTTCTATAAAATATGGAATAGACTTTATAAGTGGCTAGAAAACAGAAGCCAAAACAGGAAATAGAAGTCTTTGTTGTTATTTTTTCCCTAAACCAGTACTGAATAAAAATTAACCAAAATTACTAATTACTATCAAACTTAAAGTATTGACCCCAATGTAAATACAATGGTGGTAGGAAGATTATCATTATAATTGTTAGTACAACTGTTATTACACGATTACAGAGGTTAAAACCGATAGGAAGGCAATGGAGAATGGAGAACTACAAAGGCTAAACATGTATGCCGACACAGAAGGCTGTATAACCATTTTGTATATTGCTATGTTTGTCTTGTTTTTTCTTTTGTTGTTGTTGTTGCATTTTTTTCCTGTTTTTAAAAGTAAAAATGTTTAACAAAACTATTTTTAAAAAAAGAAAAGACAAAGCTGACTTTGGTCTCTGCCTATGCTGATGATACCCAGGAATACATCTCCTCCCCTGGCTAAGTGATGCTATCCCAGTGCTGGACCGGTGCCTGGAAGCTGTAATTGATCCAGAAAGCAGCAATGATGTAGATCTGAGCGCTCTACATTTTCCACAGCACTGCTGTGTGAGCTGCACTGGCTTCTGGTTTCTTTCCTGGTGCAATTCAAAGTGTTGCCCACAAGCAGCCAGCGGAGCTGGCAGCAGATTCGGACAGTGAGGAGGTTGGGGAGGAACATGGGCCAGTCCTGGAGTCTGGGGAAGGCTCTGATAAGGGCTCTGTGTTGGAAGCAGAGAGGGGGCCAGAGCCGTATGCCAGTTATCAGCTGCCTTCAGAGTCAGACATCAGTGAGGCAGATGAACAGCTGGAGCCTGTTCCCAGTGTNATGAATAGCCCCTCCCAGAGGAAATAAAAGAGGAGCAAAAGGGGAGTGGAGTTTGCAGGAGACAATTTGTTCGCTTAATTGGTTTGTGACTCTATGAGATTCCTTGCCAAGTTTTGAAGATATCAGCGGGTCAGTTCTCCAAGCCTGATAAAGGTCTGTGACTGTAAATCCTCCCTTGAAAGACTTTGCTGGATGTCAATGAGCAGAATCCACAGTAAATTAATAAAAGGGTTTTTTAATTGGACAAGGAGTTTGCTTCATGCTCTGGGGAAGCCTAGGTCAGAACAATCTCCATCAATAGACCAGGAACTAAATAAATACATAAAACATTTCTGTCACATCACAATTTCTCAAACACTAATTTCATATATAACAGGAGATGACAGGGGAAGGTTGCCTTCTCAGTGGTCTGGATGGGGGGAGCAAGAAAAGGATGGAAGTACAATATGGATAGTAGCCCATACTTGTACTGGGCCAACATGGATATGTGAATCAGCCTGAACCACAGGAAAGGGTACAGTCCAAAGAGGTTGTCGCGATAGTGTTTTTCATTCGGGACCACATCACTATTTTGGAGGGCTCTTTGAGACAAAAGTTGGATTCTTTCTTGCTCCATTGTTACATTATTATTTTATATTTTACCTCACAGATGTCTTTGAGATGTTTGATATAAATCCTCTCTGTGTTCATTATTTCCTGAATTACATTGGTTCTCATCTGATCTTTGTTTTCTGCTATTTTTTGGCGATGCTTTTCAGGATCTACATTTGGTTCTTCATCTTGGAGGCCACTACAGTATTCTACAGATTCTTCTTGATTGACTCGTAGCTAGAATGAGAAGAATGGAGGAGATCAAACAATTGAATTGAAAAAGTATATCTATATCCAACACCATTCCAGAAATATGACAGCAATAATAGGTCAATGTACTTGAAATTCTTTTAAGTATCTTTCCTAGGTATACCTAGAATTATCTCCCACATCCATTACCATATTTCTATAATCTTTATCAAAGTTTTCCTACAAATAACCATGCCAAATAACATGATGGGGACTATGTGACCTTTTTAGTTGTGCTACTGTATTTCTGAATGCCCTCCTTAGAGAATTCCACCTGGTATCCATGATCTAGTCTTTTTAGTGCCAAGTGAATAAGATCTTCTTAATTTTCTAAGAAATTAATAACCACTTTATTGGTTTTAGGTATCTGTACTGTTGATTTTTCTGCAAGCTTTGTGATTTTATGTTGCCTGTATTCTTATTGCTTATTTAATCTTGATATTATTATACAATTTCTCCCACTATTTTACTATATTTTATGAATTTAATTTTATTTGTATGTTGCCTGAAATTTGAGTTATTGGGCAATGTAACTGCATAGAATATGTAATACTAAACTAAAGTGAGCAAATATAATCTAGCCTAAGGAAGAATCCAATTATCCATACTCTTAAACGGATTGAAATTACACTAACATTCACTCTGATCTAACTTCAGAAGTAAGTTTTCAGTTCTCATGACTGATTTGTTTCTAACTCCTTTATTATACAATGACAATATTCATGTTATCTTGTTATTCTTAAAATCCTTCCTTTGCTATTTTTAGACTCATTTCAAAGCTCCCTTCCTCCCTCTGTGTGCTTGTTTGTGCGCATGCGTGTATGTATGTA